TAAGAGAACCTTTTTCCGAGGATTAAACGGGTCTAATAAAAAGAAAACCATTTTTATTAAATAAAATAAATCAAGCTCGTTCAATTTGATTCTTTTCAAATCTCTTTTGGGAAAAATCCGACACCCTCACTACCCGAGCGGGTTCGGGAGTGCGTCTGGGAGGCAGGCTTAGATTGTTTTGTGGACACTCTACCTCAGGTGCAAGCACGGACTCTGCCATCCAGCATATTGGCGCTGATGGAGCGATGGATGGATTCCACACATACATTTCACCTACCACTCGATGAGATGACTATAACGCCGATAGACTTTGACGTTATCACCGAGTTGCCGTTTGGAGGACGGTCAATGGTCTTAATGATAGGATGAGGACACTGAACCGTCTAGGCCTGCAGGCGAGTCTTCCGGCTGCTATCGGCATAGAGTCCACTATCTTCAATCAGAGGGTTAGATACGAGAGCATCTATTCTTATTATCTGGAGATGCCCCAGGAGCAGATAGCAGGAGTGGATGTGGACATAGTAGCCCAAGCCTACTTATTTTAACTACTGTCAACCACATTTTTGACAAACCATGGTAACGATGCAGATCTAGCATTGCTACCACCATTACAGGATCTAGATGCCACCAGGTAACTAGAGAGCTGCTACTCTATCTTATTTGTATTGTGGCATGGATCTATGTGTCTGATGTCCCCTACTACATGCTATCGATGAGGTCTATACAATTGGCATAAGACACTGCTGGTGCTCGAAGGGGGTTAGCTGCTACAGTCCAACTAACGACTTTCATGCTGAGTGCTTACACGGTATTCGTGCAGACTCAGCTCCTGATTCATGTCGCTCCTCCAATGGAGTTTGATCCCTTTATTGAGGCGAAGGAGCTAGACCAAGGTCAGGGTGCTGTGCCGGTACAGGTTTACTTTTTATTCTTTTATTATGTTATTTTAGCTTTGCCACAGTGTCTTCCATTCATAACACTGCCTTGTTCTTGCAGCAGCAATAGCGCAGTAAATGTGTGAGGAGAGGCTCCGAGCCCAGAGCTCCAGATACGGCTGTTATTGTTGGTATGCCTGAGCATGGGCCAGGTGCTTCGTTCTCTTTTATTCTGGACCACACAGGTCAGCCTGCCCAAGGCATGCTAGAGATGCATCGATGAGTCCATACCGGATGTCACTGCCCAGTTGCATCCATCTGAGTACCTTCTACTCTTTTTTTCTAATTATTGCTTTATGTTATTATGCTTTCTTATTGTTTTCCCCTGCCCCTGTGTTATTATGTAGGTGTCCATTGATGACTACAACAAGGTATGCCAACTGTATGAGGCGGCTGGCTTGAAGTTGGCAAAGGCGAGGCTCTCGGATGAGTATATATTTGTAAGTATAAACAGTATAAAAAGAAGACATGCAATGCATGTGGCATGTATGCATGTAATGTAATCACTAATATTTATGAATATGTGCAGAGAGTTGGCATGGCCTTCTGCTAGTCAGGGCCAAGGGATGCAGCATAGGCATGCGTACGAGTCGCGAAGCTGGATGCCAGCCGGTGATTGTCGAAGTGACCACGGAATCTAGTAGTGAGGCCTCCAAAGAGACAACCTCAAACATGTCTTGAGCCGGCTGCCCCATCTTATTTCTGTTTGTTTTTTTCCTTTTCTTCTCTTTTTTGTACTCAAGCCCAACTAGGGGAATTTTCTTATAAGAATGATTATTTTCATATGAGAAGGCTAGAGGACATTCTCTTTATAAGTTTTTGAATGATATTGGTGTATTTGTTCTTCATAGTTAACATACATGCTACTAATTGAATCTGAAAATCAAAAAAAAAAAAAAAATCAAAAGAACAAGATTTTTCCAACTGACTGCTAGCTAGTGGTGTGTGCCACTTGCACTGCAGTGTCAACCAACTATCAATTCGTTCTTTCTTTTCTTGCTATAAAAACACATAATACACCTTATACACTACAAAAGCTCCTCTCTCTTTCTTTCAAAAACTCCTCCAAACTTTCCATTTTCCATGGATCAGACCTTTAGCTCTTGTATTTGAAGCTTTATTTTGTAGTTTAGCCATGAGGATTGGGACTTACTGTCACCATTCGAACTCAGCGAGCTAAATTATTATCGAAACATTCAGGTTCAATCCGGGTTGCTGCAATGGTTGATCAACCATTCTGATTCTTCGGAAAAATTATTTTGCCACAACGACTTCATGATCTATCCATTATTTGAAGAATTCATCATTATTTCTGGGAGAATACCTGTGGTTGAAGAAATTCCTGCAGTTGCACAAGTGGATATAGACCCTACTTCACTGATTCTGCCTGTATTTGGTTTCTCAGCTTATGAGATATTGTCTTATGACTTTGGAGCTAATGTCGTGCCTTTGGGACCGCTTGTCGACCGTGCCATGAGTATGGATCACACTAGCCGATTCTAGCCTTCTATTGTCTGCTTCTGTCTTCTTAGTCAATACTTGCTACTCAGTGGCATTGATAGCTATGGCAGCCTTATGTTGGTGCCCATAGTCGAGCAAATGGCTAGGTCACGCATGCCTTTTCCACTCATTGTGGTAGAAACATTTACCTGGCTAGGAGAGCATGCTTGGGACCCTAGCTCGGTCCTCGGTCCGATGGGGAGTCCGCTTCTACTGTAAGTAAATGCATTTTTATCGTCTTTTCTCTTTTATGCTCTAACTTCTGCTTAAGTCGCCCTTGCAGGTTTTTGACTTCACGAGCTTTTTTTTATTATTATTATTATATTTTTTTCTACTCTAACTTTTGCTTAAGCCCCCCCTTGTAGGTTTTCGACTTAACAAGCTTTCTTTTTTTTCTTTTTTTTATTTCATTTATTATTTTTTATTCATTTGCAGTTGTGGGCTTTTGAGAAGCTACAAGTAATGGCTCCACCACCGGACCATTTGATGTTCGATTATAGATCACGAGTCTATGTCCGTCATCAATGCCGTTTGACTAGCGAGATGGTGGAAGACTGGACGGTTATTTTTTAAGATCTTACCTCCAAGGGAGTCAGATGGACTTGCCCCTGGTGGTACATTGAGCGAGTCACAATTTCCTCTTACATGCTTTGTGTGCCCTTGTGTAGGTTATCTATGACACTTGCTTATTATCTCAGTCGTGTAGCTAGGCAGTATGATCATCATCAGGTTGTCCCTGATTACACGTGGTTCGAGGGTGGCCTTCTTACACAGTGAATCCTGTCTTGCTTTATTTCCACCTGGCCTAATCTTACAACTGTACCCATTTCTGATGTGGCCGATATCTCTTCCTCAGATTTGTACCGCACTTGGCTGCAGGCTTATTTCGGAGTTAGTGCTGATTTAGACTCGACTGATATGTTGACAGCTAGATTTCTGTTAAGACCTAGCATGTATATCCTGGTTTCTAATGAAATGTACTAAACAATGTGCAACTTATGTAATGTATGTACTTGTTATGAATGAAATGACTTTTGCGTTAAAATGTTTGATATATTTCCTACAATTCTATTTCATCAAGGTAAATTCACAACTAATGAAATTGTTACTTAAACAATGGTGCACTTATGTTAATGTATGTACTTGTTATGAATGAAATGACTTTTGCGTTAAAATGTTTGATATATTTTCCTACAATTCTTATTTCATCAAGCGGTCTAAACAATGTGCAACTTATGTAATGTATGTACTTGTTATGAATGAAATGACTTTTGCGTTAAAATGTTTGATATATTTCCTACAATTCTATTTCATCAAGGTAAATTCACAACATTTGCATATTAACATAAACTTATCATAACAAGCTTTAAAGTTAATAAGAACACAAAAGGTGATTTTATTAATTGGGCTTCACCATAAACGTTATAAGCTATACATAAAATTTCTTCAATTTATCCATATTGATTGGTTCGGTAAACTCATTGTGTTCCATGTCTGATAGCTTTACTGCACCTTTGGAAACATCTTCTTGATCAAGAATGGGCCCTCCCAATTAGGCTTGAACTTCCCCCTCGAGTCATGAGTGTTCGGCCGCATCTGTTTCAGAATCAAATCCCCTATTCTTAGTAGCTTTGGATGAACTCACTTGTTGAAGTGCTTAGATATCCTCCTCTCATATAATTGATCCATGAATCTGGCATTAAGCCTTTTTCCATCTAGGAGTGTTAATTCTTGACAATGGTTTTCTACCCATTGACATTCTAGAATCTTGGATTCCATCACTATGCATAAGGACTACACTTCTATCTTAGTTGGTCGTACAGCTTCCATTCCATATACAAGAGAATAAGGGGTTACCCCATTTGCAGATTTGGTTGTCGTTCAGTATCCCTATAAAGCATATTTTAGCTTGCTTGCCAGTAACTATGATTTTTTGCCATTTTCCTCCATATCTTCTTGATGTTTTTATTTGCGGCCTCCACTGCGCCATTAGCTTGTGGCCTATAAGGTGAAGACATATGGTGTTCGATTCTGAATTTTTATAGCAACATTTTTACTTTTGCTTAGAACTGAAACTCCATTGTCTATCAAAACATGATGGGGGATTCCATTTCTACAGATCAGGTTCATTTCAATAAATTTGGCCATTTGCTTAGCAGTTATGTTCTTAAATGATTCTGCTTCAACTCATCTTGAGAAATAGCCCACTGCAACCACTATAAATTCATGTCTATTAGATGTAGGTGGTGAACTCTTGCCAATGATATCTATTCCCCAAGCTGCAAATGGCCATGGCGAAATAGAAGGATGTAATTCTGAAGGAGGAATGTGACTCGAGTCTCCATGTATTTGACATTCGAAGCACCTTTTCACAAAAAAAAATACAATCTCTTTCCATTGTTGACCAAAAGAAACCCTGCTTGAGCATTTTCTTAGTAAATGCTTTTCCTTTCATATGGGTACTGCAAACCCCTGCATGGATTTTTTCCATAACCCCTTCAGCTTCTTTCTTCAATACACATCTTAACAATAGCGCGTTTGACATTCTTTTGTACATTGACCGCCTCAGACTGTAAATTGTAATTCCAAAAGTTGTATAGCTCTTCTGTCATCTCTAGTAGCTGAATCTGGGTATATCCTTTTAGTCATCCAATGCAGGACATCATAAAACCATAGCTTCTCTTCTTCCTCAATATCAATACTCTTTTTGCCTTCATAACAAGGGATGCTACCCGAAGTCATCATAAATGGTTTCTTAGACATTACCGAAATCTCTTCCCAAGCTAATGCTAAGCTAGCCAAGGTATCTGGTACTCGATTGTTCACTCTGCTTGTATTTGTGAAGGTTGCCTTTTTGAAGTTTTGAACAACAATGCATAGATGGTCAATGTAAGGATTCAGCCTGTCCTCTTTAACTTCCCAGTTGCCATTAGCATGCTCGATTACCAATTTCGAATCACCAACAACCTCAATTTCTTCAGCTTTAACTGTAATCAAAGCATCTAACTCAAACAGGCAGGCTTTATATTCTGCCATGTTATTCGTGACTGCAAATTGTAACCTCTTCAACATCGGGATAACTTCTCCTTGTGGGGATTCTAACAAAATGCCTACTTCGGCTCCTTCACTATGAGTTGAACCATCAAAGTAGAGTTTCCATCCTTTCTTTTCTATCAAACTCAAATGTTCATCAGGAAAATCGATCTCCCACTATTCATTATCTTCAACTGGATGTGCTACTAGAAAGTCTATAACTACTCGTCCTTTAATGGTTTTCTTTATGGCATATTCAATGTCAAATTCTAACAAAAGGATTAGCAATCTTGCTAGTTTTCCCACTAGTGCTGGTGTTCTATATAAATATCTGACCGGATCCATACCATTGCTAAGTAAGTTCTTTCAATCAAGTTATATTTCCGTTCATTTGGAAGGAGCTTTTTACTCAAGTAATACACTGCCTTCTCAATACCTACTTCATCAGCTTGTGCTAACATGGCTCCAATTCCACCATCTTCCATTGTTAAGTACAGAATTAAGGGTTTCCCTGGCTTTGTGGGCACAAAACTGGGGGACTTGACAAATATTACTTGATTTTGTCAAAAGCTATCTAGTAATGATCGTTCCACTTTACTAGCTAATCTTTCTTTAAAAGCTTGAAGATTGGATCATATACTATAGGCAATTTCGATATGAACCTGCTAATATACTGAATCTCTCATAAAAAGCTTCTCACTTGCTTTTCCATCTTGGGCGACTCCATTTCTTGGATCGCCTTTACCTTTTCTGGATCAATCTCTATTCCTTTAGGTCCTATTATGCATCCAAGAACTTTTCCAGAAGTTACCCTAAACATAAATTTCTTCGAGTTTAACTGCAACTTGTATCACTCTGTCTATGAACTGCTCAAGGGCTGTTGGATGCTCTTCTGGTGTCTTCGTCATAACAATCATATCATCGATATACACCGTTAATTCCTTATGGATCATGTCATGAAACAATATTGTTGTCATCCTTTGATAAGTAGCCCCGATGTTCTTTAAGCCAAATGGCAACACCTGATAGCAAAACGGACCAAACTCCATCACAAATGTTGTCTTGCCTTTATCTAATAATGCCATAAGAATCCAATTATACCCTACAAACCCATCCATAATGGAGTAGCATCCCATCATCACTGCACTATCGATCAGGATATCAATATGAGGGAGAGGAAAATCATCATTCGGTGATGCTTTGTTCAAATCCCTTTAGTCCACACACATTCTGACCCTTTCGTCTTTCTTAGGAACTGGGACTATGTTTGCCAATCATTCTGGATAGTGAACCACTTCAAGAAAACCTGCATCTATCTGTTTGATCACTTCCTCTTTAATTTTCTCATTCTAGTCTTAACCTTCTTCTCTTCTGCTTCACTTGTTTTGCTCCAAGATATAGAGGAATTGTGTGCTCAGCTATAGACCTATCTATCCCTGGCATATCCTTATAACTACATGCGAAGGCTTCCTTTGTGTCCATGAGTAGACTTTGAAATTTTTTGTTTAACTCTGGCATTAGGTTTGGCCCAATTAATATAATTCATGGATTATCTTTGTGCAAATATTAAATTCAAGCATGCATGATGAGTTAATGTCAAATATGCGCATATGCTTATCTACTCGATGAATGGAACCATCAAGAAAGACCATGAGTAGACTTTGGAAATTTTTTGTTTAACTCTGGCATTAGTTGGGCCCCAATTAATATAATTCATGGATTTCTTTTGCAAATATAAAATTCAAATAGCATGCATGATTGAGTAATGTCAAATATTGCGCCATATTTGCTTATCTACTCGATTGAATGGAACATCCAAGAAACGGACATCAAAACACAGTAGCAAATTGAAGTTCATTTCATTTAAAATAATAAAGGAAAGTTCATTACAATCAGATTCGTCCTTGACAGAAATCAAACACATCAGGAAGGGGCTCAGCTTCTTCAAAAGCTCTTCTTCTATGTAGGCCTCCGGAGAGTACTGACGTAATGTGTGTGAGTCCATCCGTTGTGGCTCTGGGCCCTTCTCGTTTTCCTCATCTCCTAGCTCAACACATAAATAACAACAATATAATTCTTCTCTATACTTTCCTCTCTTGCCTAGGTAGCTGGGCCCCTCTTCCAATTCCTCTTTTCTTCTTCTCTCTTCTATGTAGGCCCAGATCGCTTTTAGCACTTTATCTGCGGGGTCCTCTTCTTCTTCAGCGCTCACCTTCCCTTTATTCTTCTCTTACTTCCTCTCTTCCTAGGTAGCTGGCCCCTCTTCCAATTCCTCTTTCTTTCTTTCTTCCTCGGCCACTTGTGGCCCCTCAACCCCCTCTTTCTCGGGTATCTTCTCTTCTTCTTTCTCTTCTTTCCCTTCCTCAAGCTTTAGTCCCTTAGGCTCAATCGCCAAGATATTGATAACATCAGCAAAGATTTCTAGACTGGGGTACATCTTTCCATTGTGCTCAAAAGGCTCTATTAGAAGACATGGAGAGGAATGCTCACTCGAACAGACGAATCGTCTATCCATGTCTAACCAGCCGTATGTTCTCTTCAGTGTGCTTCCAAATTTATACCCTATGCCTTGACTGTCCCTTTGGGTGTAAATTTTAGGTAGCTCTGTAATGCCTTGCTGATTCTTTCCAAGCACTTTTCCTTCTTCATCATTCATCCTCTTCATGATGTTGGAGATAGTGGGCCCCATGTTTGTGCTAAGCACAGGAATCTGAAAATTGATCCATGGGAGGATTACTTGCTTGTCCACATTGAGCAGAGCTACGCTTCTCTCACTAGCAGCAAGTATGGTGATGATTTTTCCATTGTAAGAAAATTTGATTTTTTGATGTAACGTTGAAGGCACATCTCCCAAGGAATGATACCATTGGCACCCAAGTAGCAAAGTAAATGTAGGGGGATATCAATTACTATAAAATCAGTCTCCATTTCAATCGGCCCTACTTTGACCACTATTTTGAAGATGCCCTCAACCTATCTCTTATGCTCTAATCACAACATCAGAAGGTTCCAAATCAGACAACTCTAACTTGAACTTTGAAAGCAGCTTAAACGGACAAACATTCAGAGCTGACCAATCATCTATCATCACAATCTCGGTCACTCTTCCTCTGACCTCAGCCTTAATGAACAATGCCTTAGTGTGATTCCTTCCTTCAGGAGGAAGTTCATCATTAGAAAAAGCGATAGTGAGAGGATCATGGTGCACTATCCCCACAAAGTCAGTTAGAGAAATGGATGATGGAACCAGAATCTCCACCATATGCTCATGTTTGCATGGGTTTTCTTCAATTCTCTCATCACGGCATCATGTCCTACTTCCTTCTTTGGCATATCCAATGAGCTCGCTTTTTCTTTTTCTTCCCTCGGCTTGGTCATATTCGGTTGATACACTCAACCACTACGGGTCACATGGTTCACTGCTCTTGCTTCTTTCTCATCCTCACTACTCCATACTTCATCTTCACTTCCATCCCAGACTTGCTCACTTTGTTCTAACCACACCTCATCGATATCCCACACATTTAGCACCATCACATAAATTTGTTCCAACAGCATCTCCCTTTCTCTTCCCTCCTCTTCGAACTTGGCTAGCACCTCCTCGGGAGTCTTTCCAGACTCAACCATATATAATTTCTTAGGAGGCGGCACGTTCCTAAAATTCGAAAGTGGATTAGTCATCGTGCCCGCCTTGATTTTTCTAGATCTGTCACTTTACCACTGTCGATCAGATCTTGTATCTCATGCATCAGCAATTATCAGTCATATGGCCCTTACACTAATGGTTTTTGCAATAAGCACTCAGATCGTGGTTCTTTGGCAAAATGGCCGGAGGAGGTCTCGGCGTAACCAGTCGTAATAGACTTGCCATTTTCACTTTCTCAAATACTTTAGAGAGAGGAGTACCAAAGTTAGAAAATCTCCTTGGTGGCACATTTGTAGCTCTTAAATCCAGAGTAGCTGTCATTGTGTTCTTAGTCGTGCTCGGAGTCCTAGTTGACTGATTGGACCCTTGGAACCCTGACTTGTTAAAACTCCCGGCCCGATTCCCATAATTCTTATCTTCTCTTATTTTATCTTCGATGGTAGCCCCCACCTTGTAAAACTGAGAAAATTCAGTTAACGACATATAATACAGCTTTACACGGAAAACTGGTAGAGTCCCCTTAATAAATATCATGATCTGCTCCTTGGTATCCAGACTCATTTGCGTGACCTTGGCTCTCCATCTAGCCATATAATCAGTGAAGGTCTCATCATTTTCTTGCACAGTTGCTTCTAAATCTCTCAAATTAGCACTCATTTGGAGATTGTAGGCATATTCTTTGAGGAAAACCGTTGTCAACTCATTCCAATCTCTTCTTACCCTCTTCTCAAGATTGTAATACCAAGTTTGAGTAGCCCTATTAAGGACATTGGGAACATCTTCAAGATTTCCCTCGACGGTAGACCCACCAACTCCATGATAGACTTGTACTGTATGAGGTGCACCTTTGGGTCACCGTTGCCATCATACTTTGCCACTTTTGGCATCTTATAGGTCATTGGGTTAGCTTGTCTCAACTTTAGATCCTCATCTTCATTGTCATCGAGGTTAACACTGGTCCATTCCCTTGGACTTCATAAACACATGTAGTTTCTCGAGCTTCTTATCCAACTTTTCAAACTTTTCTGAGACGACTGGCGCAGTATCAGCCCTCTTTGCAGACATTTTCTTGAAAAACTCATCATCTTGCCAAGTGTCGTCTATATGCCCCTTTTTCACTGACTCTCCTTTAGCCTCTTTGTCATCTTCGATAACCACTTTCTCTTTTCCTTTATCGGACCTTATGAGCTCCATAAGGCTAGATGCCACTTTTTTCTCGATCATCTTCTCCATTTCAAACAAAGGAACACTGGGTTCAAACATTCTATCGGTAGTAGAAGAAGCTAAAACTGGTGAATCTATTTGAACCAGGGAGTTTTCAATCTTAAAGCGGGAGCCCAACGGACTAGAAGAAACTGAACAAGGTAAATCACAGGGGGTTCAAGGTTCTTCAACTCTAATCAACCGGCTATATGTCCTTGACCAATTGACTATTTTCAGTGCTTTTCTCTTTGTGAAGCTATCTTGACTGCACCAAATGAATGTTAGAAAACATAACGTAATGCAAGTATGCATGAATGCATGCTTATGAAATGGCATGAATGTTTAGAAAACATAACGGTAATGCAAGTATGCAGAAGCATGCCTTATGAAGATGGGCACACAAAGATTTGCGATCATACAATCATAATATTGTTAAAATGGCCACCTAATGCTACCATTCCAATTATGGGCTTTATCATGGGGACTATTTCAAATCCAAATGGCTTTATCATGACTATTCAAATCCAAAATCAAAAAAAGGCCCTTGAAAACTGTTAAGAGCAAAACGTGCCCTATTTCATAGCCAAATACTTATAAGGACCTTATTGCTTATTCTTTTATTTTGTATCCCTTTCT